GACATACGCAGATACTTGTACTAGACATGTATTTTGTCACAATTTTTACAAAATTCTGTCCTGCCAATTCATTTTTCTTAAATCAACTAGTCTTACCTGTGTTTGGATATCATCCCCAGTAACAATATTTCCAACTGCTCTTAATGCAGGGGATACCACCTTGTAATCATTATGCCTGGAGACAAATATTAAATCGCTTGATATTACCAAGTGTTAAAGTATAATTTTGCATTTTCAGTGAACAATGGTTTACTTCAGGTGCTAAATTTTTAGCTATAGAAAACATTGCATTACTTCTTACACTTTCCCCCTATTTAGCCAAATTTGACAACTGCAAGCCCACAACTGAATTGCTGATTCAAGGAAAGGGCACCTCTATGGAACAACACAACTTAGAGCAATCTATCTGTCCAGCAGATTCATTTCACACAGCTCAAGTATTATTGAATACAACGCTGGAACCTGCATCATTCAATAACCACTGAAACAAAAGGGGTGTTGTTATTAGCTGTATACTAAAACTTAACAGCCCTCCTTTGTAAGTGAACTTCCCCCTTTTGTAAGTCAATAACCCTAAAAGCCAGTACATGAAGCCCATATTCAACTGTCTGAGGTGTAGGGGAAGGAAATCTACTCAGTTGTCCTAAAGCTTTTACAGAAGAGAAAGCAATCTCACCCTCCCCCGACAGCTATACAAATGAGCTTTTCGCAGGGAACTGTGCTGAGCTGTCAGTGCTGGGAACTACTAACCCTGACCTACTCTGCAGTCCCCATGTGAACACAGGGATTTAGTCTCCCTTTCTAGGAAAATAATGAACCATAAACCAAATATACTGGAACAGTTCAAAAGTGGCACAAGCCTGCCTCTGGACTTCGTGAGTCCAAGAACTGTCTGTAAGTCCAAGAACTTACTACATCTCCTGTAAAGGTAAGAAAACAAAATGTAAGAGTGAAATTAAAAAAACATAAGCTGAGAAATCAGTTTACAATTCAAGCTTGGTCTTCAGTCTTCACCTTTCTACTCCTCCGTGTAAATGAAATCCTACATTAAATTTTAAAGAATATAAAGGAATACTTTGGAGAAAACTTTTTTTCACTGTCAATCTCAGGAAAAATCCCAGGAGTCAAGCAACCCAGCAAGCAACTTAAGGTTTCAGATTGAATTCATGTTTGTCACTTCTCACAAAATAAATTCAGACTTGAGGTGAGAAAAAACAACTCAATTTGAATTCATTAATATTAACAGTACTGCAAGACATCTACTTGGTGAAGAGAAGACTTACATAAGCAACTCTACCAATCTTCGGCACACTCCAGAATCAATAACAGCTTGAATTTTATCATTGGGACCATCTGAAAGGTAAGAGAGGGCCCAGCAAGCATCTGCTAATACATCCGGGTCACTGCTAAACAACAGTCTTGATAAAACATTTAAGCAAGGAGCAACCTAGGTTAAAGAAAAATATTACATAAAATTAGGCGTTTCATATTTTTCAAGTTTCAGAGACATTCTGCAAAGGCATTAAGGTGCAAAACTATTTACTGCCAAAGCACACGAGCTCCTTAATGAGTCAGGACCTAGGTGGAATACTTCCTGATTAAACTAGACATCCAATTCAAACTGGCAAATTTGATAAATTCTGATTCACAGCCTATTTAATTAGAGATACTATATTAGGTATATAATTGTTCAGCTTAAACAAAAAACATCTGCTTTTACAGGCAACCAGGAATTACTGATGCTTTTTTGAATCACTCAGGGAACAGAATTTCAAAGTCATAACATTTTTTGACATTGCTGTCTTTGTAGGAGTACTGGAGGTTGTTTGTAATAACCAATTTACAATTGCTTTACCACAAAGAAACTCAGAGTAATTCACAGAGGACTCAACGTTCACTGAACCAAACGAGCAATGGCTGACTTCAGTTCTCACTGCAGCTATAGTCTCTGGCCTTGATCTCCTACAAGTTCCACACAGACAGAGCCAAATGAACTAGACCATCTTAACACCACTTGGAACCTGACAGGTTTCAGCTGTACAGCTTGGGAATCTCATATTCTTTGTAGAACTTAATTCTTTATCTTACATGAGTTACGCAATTCAGCCTCCTTTACGTGTCCAACTGGTGCTACTGCAAAGGGTGAAAAGCAAAAGAGCTATTCCTATTAGCAGCTGCCTACAGTGCACCCTTTTCCACTGAAGTTGTGTTTAAGCAGCAAGAAATCTTCCTGCCTTTTTACTACCAGAACAAAACACTACCGAAGGATATAACTTGGGCAGAGCAATTGTGAGGTCATCAATTAACGTCAGAAATCCCCCCTTCTTGTTAGTATCTCTCCAAGAATTATTAAGTAGCAATTGACAGTAATTACTACCTCATGAGGTAAGCTTCAAGACATGTAAATTCTCTCCAGATTATCTTTAATGATCATTTAACCTCAGTCTCTTCTACCAGAAAATCCAATGTTCCGTTCTTCTAATCTTTTAACGTCATTAACCTTACCAGAAATTAATTTCATACTGGAAATAAGGAGCTAATACTCCTACTAGCCTCTACAGCCTTACTGTCTTTATAACCACATACTGGAGAGAGGAGGAAGCGATGGGGAGAGCATACAGGCAAATCACCTCTGTCATCATAGTCCGAATTAACTGCATCTGACAGAGCAGAAAACTCAAAATTTTATTCCTGCAGTATGCACTCACAATCATAAAATAAAAAAATAAATAAAAAATGTTTTAAAAACTTCAATCATATCTCACATCCTCTAAAACAGATCTGGAGAAAATACAGCCCCAAGGGGTTTAGTGCTGAATGTATTATTTGCCCATCATTTCATACCAGTGAATGACTATTTGCATCTGACTAACTACAATCTCAAGTTTTTAAGTAATTTAATTTTATTGGGGATAGGCGTCAAAGTAGATGATTTTTTGTAGATACAACAGATGGACAAGACTGTGTGATTACATTAAAAAGATAAAACTGAGTCTATCTCCACATTCAAAGATTCTGCGTGTTATAACATATTACAAACGTAAGTCTTCTTCAGCTTTCTGACTTCTCAAAATGAATACTTCATTATACCTTACTGAAGTCTGGAGGAGGGTTCTTTCCTCTGCAGAGATTTGAGAGAGCCCAGACTGCATTTCTAGTTGTTGTAAGACGATTTGAATTTGTTAACAGTCTGTCAAAGAGAGACAACAATAATAATAAAAATCATTTCTTATTGAAAAGGTAAGTCTTTTTATGTCTATTATTATCAACAGTGCCTCAAATCAGGAAAAGAAATCCTATTATTGGGCACTAGTTTCAATGTATTTCTCTTCATAGCTTACATGCTGCAAATATTTTCTTATAATCAACTGAATCTGTAGATTATTTTGCATGGACATCTCATTCCCAGATCAAGTATATGCATATAAAGTAAACTACTGCTCATACGAAAAATCATTCAACTAATCTTTTCTGGGGCTAGGAGATGCAACCCTCCCTTGAATTAACTTCGATGTTTTCATTCACAGAATGCAATTAATAATAATAAAAATAGTTCCATAAAAAGTTAGAACTTAAAAGATCTTCTAAAAAAATTAACACTTTACTGTTTTTGCTGAATAGAATGTGAAAGATTCAACACCTGAAAAGTCAGGTTCACTTTCAGATACATACCAAAATGTCTAAAACTGTTAATCTTTAAATCCTCGAGGAAGGTAATCACATTCTCCTCTATTATTTTAAGCTATTTTACAAATGTTTTAAAGCATTTTATTATTTTAAGCAGTAATAAACTGAACAAAATTTGTGTCGTATACATTTTTTCCCTGTGATGAAGCTACCTCACATCCTATTGTAAGCATACAGTAAATGCTGAAATGATATTCCTAGTGAAGAGAAATCTTCTGGTGGAACACAGGTCATGTAACAACTACTCCGCCAGCTCATCTCAACAAGCAAATGGACAGATAGCAAGAGCGGAGCTTGGTGCTACTCGACAAAGGTGGTGAAACCAGCCTATTGCCCAGCCAACTGGAGTCACAGAAATGCAAGTGTGAATTAAATAATCTCTCCCACCCTATATACCCAGAACTCTGGCAGCACAGAGTTCTGCACAACACAGAAATTTCATTTCTGTGAAATAATACTTCTCTCCTTTTGCAAACACTGGAAAGCTTCCAGTGATGAACTAATTAAAGATATGCATGAAGCTCAGGCAATCCAAAACATTAGGGTCATAGCAGTATAATAAAAAAGAAACATTCTCAATTTAGCAAAAAGCTTACATTCTTTTCAAATAAATTTTAAGTTGAAGTTTACAGTTATCTATACCTGTACACAACAGTAATAGTATTAATCTACAATACTTACTCCAAGAGAGGTGGTAATATTCCGCAGTTTAAAACAAAGTCTCTGCATTCTGCATTATCACCAGCAATGTTACCAAGAGCCCACACTGCCTTAAAAAGCAAAGCATCCAAGTGAATTTATACATGCTTGCAAATCAACTTTCACAGATCATCTATGTATTTTTTTTACAGCAAATATTATAGAAGCAAAAAAGCAAGATCATTCCAAATATAAAATTTCAGAAGACTACCGGTTTCTATATTCCGTTTTTTGTGAACTCACACAAAGTCAGTTACCTACACTTGAAGTCACCCTTTCAAGGAAAGTCTTCCGTTATGAAAATATGTTGATTCATGTGCTTTTCAATAAAAAAGATACACACACTCTTTTCAGTAGTTACATTTGCTCACTGTGTGTAATAGATTCAATAAAACTGGCTCAAAGTTGCAAACAATGTATGAGGAATAAAAAAGTTAAATCATGAACTTTCACTATACAAACTTTCAAACATGCTAAATAAAAGCCAGTAAATTACAGACTCTCTTAAACAAAACAAAAAAACCCCACCAAACCAAAACAACAACAACAACAAAAAAACAAACCCACAAAACCAAAGTTCAGGAAAATGTTAATGAAGACTGTAACATAATAAGATGGAAGAGCAGAAATATATAGGAAATAAAGCTGCAAGATAACTTAGGGGAAAAAAATCCACATTGTTCTCTACTATATTCTTTCTATTATGGTGTTTTAGATCCTGTCCACCTGTAAATTCCGCAACAGAAATCAGGTGCTTTCTTCCAATTACTCAGTAACGTGAAATAAAAAACAGGTTCCAAGAAACGTGAAAGAATCAGAGGAAAAAAACATGAGGGAAAAAATACACTGAAGGTAAATCCTTATCTTCCCGGAGCCAGATCAATGGGCTAGTAGGTAAATGGGGCTCAAAAACTCTCTAACTACACACACCCCAAAAAAGACATTCATAAATTAATTTTAAGTAGTTATAAAATACCCCAAGAAAACAGTTACCTGCTCCTGTACATCTTCATGTTCTGAACTAAGCAACTTAATAAAAATTGGAACAGCTCCAGTTTCAATTACAACTTTGGTGTGTAGAAAAGTTCCAGATGCTATGTTTGTCAAAGCCCACGCCGCTTCAAACTGTTGAGGAGCACAAAGAAGACCACGTTAAACCCCTCAGCAGTAAAACTTAAATTAATGAAAAACAGTTTGACATGAGAGTTGCAGAGGTTAATTTTCCAACTTTTTTTCCTTTCCACTGAAATGCAATTATTACTATTATTGTACTTTCTATACAATAAAATAATTGGCATTGACAAAATCTCTACTTAATAAGCACCTTCAGTGTCTAAATTATTTTTAGGTTTTGGCTTGCAGCACTAACTGTAAGGAAATTTCAAATCTCTATTAACCCGTACAAATCCCTTCTGTTTACTCTATATTAAGTTAATTCTTCTAGTATGAAGGTACACAAGGCCTAAATGCCATTCCATGGGCTACCACAAGTAGACAGAACTAGTTACTCCTACCGTTAGTTATATATTTTTCAAAGATTTTTCTACAAGCCTTTCAGTTTCCTGAATTTTTTCTTCTTTTCTAAGATTTCAACTGAAAAGTACTACAATATACTCAACACAAAAAAACCACATTCTGCTCACACATCAACGTTGATGATCTTAACATACTACCCTGGAAACTCTCTTGAACACATTCTGCTTTCAACACCCATGTATGTGACCAGCTGAATACACAACCCTGAAGACTACTATGAAATTCACAAGAATCAAGACACAGTTTCAGTGGCAATAACTGACATTTTAGACAACTAAAATTTACAGTTTCAGTGATTAAAAATAATTAAATTTGGTTATTAAAAAAAAAAAAATAATAATCACATGCTTTCCCAAAGCTGTGTTGGGGGAAGTTTCTAATCCCATTCCAAACCCCAAATCAGCACCAGCCAAACTCACTTGCAGAGTGTAATTCTCATTCCTCTCCAGAAATTTCACAAATCTCTGTACTACTCCTGGTTTTTGTATGACTTCATCTATCGGTGGATTAGGCTCTAGGGAATAAAAACAAATGTATTTGTGTAAGTCTAACAAAAAAGACCAAATAAATTACTTTTTCAGTATGACACAAAACATGATTATGATTCTCAGTTCTTATCATAATTTTTAGCATTCAATCATTTTAATCTCAAATGAAGGAGCTAAACTTTTGACTTTCAAAGACTACAGGATCACCTCCATAAAATGCTATAATTTAGTAAACACCCTATTATGTATAGTAATAGTAATACATACTAATATTTACTGGCATGTTAGTAACTCATTACAAAACACTGTTCCCTCAATCAGTAGCTCAGGTCAGTGGAAGAGCAATTATTATTGGATACTATTTTAAATGACCAAGCATATCTTTACCTATCATGCTATGCAAATACCATCATTAATTTAAGACTGCATGTCTTACAATCTCAACAGAAACAAGTTACAACTGTTCTTTGGCAGCCATATAATTTTTCTCCTCTCAAATACAGGACGAGAATCAGAAATTGAATCACTGCAACAAGTACTGTAAGTAATGGTAGTGTGCAGTTAGTTACCGCCCTGGACACTTCAATCAAAATATCCTTGCTTTTGTTACTTTGTCTGAAAGACTTAACATTAGAATAATGAAGCTTTCTGTATTTAGCCATTAGGTCGGAATAGATTTGGCATGGTTTCTCTATAAACAGAACTAGAAGTTTCAGCAAGCTCTATTTTAAAGTAAAACAAAACTAAAGGTTAACTGACTCTCTATGACAAAAATCCGTAACACCACCACAGAAGGAACAACAGAAAAAAAAGTCAGGCAACGTTTACGTACCTTTAGATAGCAATTTTCTGAACTTCTGAGTTGCTGTCAGTTGCTGATCAGGATCATCCGAGAAAATCATCTGCACCATATCTACTGTAATAACTTCCTCCTAAAAATGAAAGGAGGATTTCTTACCTCTGAGAACGTACTATGCACGTTAACAGATAACATTCTAAACACACTCTAAAGTAATTACCTCTGGAATAGGTACAGTAGAGCTGACATCAGGATCCTGAATTGGACTTTCTACCATAGATTCTTCATTTCCTGGGAGAGAAACGTTTCGGCGTTTAAACAGCTAAACGAAGAAGAAATTTTTGGGAGACATTAGAACTTACCATCGAGTGGGTATTGATGACATACACTTGAAGAAATGCTTTCACCAATACTAATCAAAGTATTTCAACTACTCACCTTCCTACTCACCCATGCAAATGGAATTCTACATGAAAGTTTAAAGAACATAAAGGAGAAAAACACTACTATATCTGTATCTTGATAAGCTCCACTGCAACACTTGAGAGAGACATTTAAAAACTGAAGTTCTTTTTAATTAGCAAAGATCCATAAATTTTTCCACATGTAAAAAAAAGAAGATACAGATCTTTTTTTACTCTCACCACTCATAATTAGCATTTATTTTTAAGCAGGAAACAGTAGTCTACAAGCTACTTTCTCCTTTTTTCATTTATAGGCTAAAGTCATCAGCACAGAGCCAATGTTTGTGTTCCAGCACATCCCATACCTCCCTTCAACAGAAGGTCTAAGATCTATGTACTTTCTTTGCATGCCAATTAAACAGCACCTACATTTAATATACAGCTGCAGAAAGATTAAAACAGAAACATTATTTTAATATAGTTGGAGAACAAATGGTGTAGTTTCAAGGTGAACTTTCAAATTATGTAACATTAAACATTCTCTACGTCCAAAAATTGCTTTAACATTGGCTGCATGCACTGACTACACTCAAAATACATACCTGCACCGTAGTGCTTAATGAGTGCCTCTTCATTTTCTGGCATACAAGCAAAACATTTTTATTAGCCCGTTTTCTTCTAGAAACCAAACCTAAATTTTTATCTTTAATCCTATGCTACACTTACAACTACTGTAATTAACAATTCTAAGAATATTATGTTGGTATCTTTAAAAATAAATGTTAGAATCTCAGTCCATCGAGTAAGATTTCACCTGTAAGCATAACAATGAAACCTCCCACTAAATCCTGAAAGTTTTTGTCCTCTAGGACAAAAGGTCCTCTAGGACCTAGAGGTGTCTATAGACACCTAGACTTCTACTATTGTACATGCCCCAAACTGCAGAAGCAATTCCATGTTTACATCTACCCATATTTCAAACAGGAACCTAAAACAAAGCATTCTCTCCCTTGTTCAACACACTTCTGTACTGGGCACAATCCTGGACACAAAACAACTGCAGAACCATGGACATAAGCAAAGTTTAACTCCATTTAAACCCACAAAGGAAGAAGAAACATTCTTCTTTTGGAAGACCAGCCATTCTTTCTAGCGCTCAACAAGGACACAGAAGCATTTGGTTGAAATGTATAAACTGTTTTTGTTTAGGATCAAGGTCTACCTACCAGATATAATTTCTTTTGGAGCAAAAGCAGTCTCATCTCCCTGCATAAACTTGTTCTCCCCAGTTCAGGAAGAACTGAGAAACACCAGTCCAACAAATTAAGATCAAGGAGAACATAACTGTATTCTCATTATTACGACAGTCAGCATGGGAGAGAAAACACCCAGTATTTTCATAATTTATCTAGGGC